GTGTCATCACTAAAGTGGAAAGCAAGTGACATTCCAGTGAGCTGTAGGGGGAAAATGTGAAAACTTCTACCTTGATATGTGCTTAGGTAAATGTTATGAAATAAACTACGTGTTCTTGGTTGCGAATACATGGGTAGAGCTTTCGCAGAGTTCCCGCGTTGGAGGGTGTGTCTTGTCCAGGACACAGAGTTTCCTCTTCAGAGGGGTCCTTCTGCAACTGGGAAGGTTGACGGCACTGCCCAGGCTAGCTTTCTCAACCTCATCCAAGCTCTTTCTCAACCATATAGGGAAAGGGGAGGATTATTTTATCAATTGGCCAAAACAATTCACAGTTATAAGGATGGCTTTGAAATGTACCTGCATTTGCATTTGTGCCACCCGCAGATTTACTGTTTGTGGTGAAGTACTTGGAACAGTTGTTGAGTTCAGGCTATTTGCATGTGCTTCGTTCACAAAAAGAAAAATATTCCAAATTTGCTAACCTTTTCTAATGACAAATGAAAGTCAATGTTCTGTTATTTAGAAGATATAGTCAAAGAAATAACATTTAACCTGAACCCTCAAGTTGCTAGTGGCATTAACATTGAGAAAATAATTGTTTTTCCAAAGAAATTCATGCTATCAGGAAAGCACATTGAAAACAGGTGTTGGCAAGTATTTTCATTTTCATGTTACTTTTTAGTTGAAATTTGTGTCATGAGTACAAGTTATCACATCACTATACTCTTAAAAAGACTGAGAGCAGAAACTTTTTAAATAGTTTTACTGAAATTTATTGATAACACAAACATGTGCAGATGTTTAAAGTGTACAACTCAATACACATGCACACCCATGAAACCATCGCCACAATCTAGATACACCGTGACCTCCAGAAGTTTCCATGGGCCCGTTAATAATCCCTCCCTCCTGACCCTACCCAGTTTCACATGACAACTAATCTGTTGTCACTTTAAATGACTTTGAATTTCTATAATTATTTTATATAAATGGAATTATACAATCTGTATTATCTTTTATCTGGCTTTTTTTTTTTTCACTTAGTGTAATTATTCTGTGATTTATTGATGGTGTTGCATGTATGAACAGTTCATTCCTTTTTTACTTTGTTGTACGGATAGACCATAAACTGTTTATTCACCTTGTGGTGGACATCTGAGTGATTCCAGGTTTTGAGTATGACAGTGAGGCCGCGGTGCACAGTGGGTCTGTGGGTGAGCTCTGTGTGAGCAGAGCTTTCATCCTCCCTGGGAAAGGACTTACGCATGCAATGGGGGGGGGTCACATGCTGGAGGTCTGTAACTGTTTCAGAAACTGCCAAACTGTTCCCAAAGTGGTGGCACTGTCACCTTCCACAGATCGTTATATGTGATCCAGTTCTTCCACATTTGCCACCTGTACATCACCTTTGATGAAGTGTCTTCTCAGATCTTTGCCCATTTTTATTGTGCTTGGCTGTTTTTATGTTACTGAACTGTTGTAGTTCTTTCTGTATCCTAGATACAGTTCATTTATTAGATAAATTACTTGCAAATATTTGCTCCCCGTCTTAGCTTTTATTTTCATTCTTGTAACAGTTTCTAAGTTTTTAATTCTGAAGAAGTCCAATTGATCATTTTTTCCATTTATTATCAATTTCCTTGTCAGTATTGTATTGAAGGAATATTTGCCTAACCAAAGGTCACAAAGACTTTCTCACTCTGCTTTTTTCTGGCAGGTTTATGATTTAAAGTTCTGTCTTTAGGTCTATGTCCATTTTGAGTAAATAATTCTACATGGTACAAAGTAAGGATCGAAGTTTACTTTTTGATTTTGCATTTGGATATTCAGGTGTCCTAGCACCATTTCTTGAGTAGACTATGCTTTCTGTATGGTCTTGCCTTTGCACTAGTGTTGAAAATCACTTTACCATATATGCGTGGATCTATTTCTATATTCCCTCTTCTGTACACTGTTCTGTTTCCCTTGATGCCAGTACCACACTACTTTACATATTGTAAATTTATAACAAGTATTGGATTCAGACAGTATACTTTCTCTACCTTCATTGTTTGTTTTCAGAGCTGTTTTGGGTATTCTAGGTCCTTTGAATTTCCATATGAATTTTAGAGTCAGCTTTTCATTTCTTGTAGAAAAGCCTGCTGGCATTTTGATTGGGTTAATATAACAGTAGTTCAGTTGCAAGGGTGATGTTGAAGTCTGTAACTGTAATTGTAGATTTTTCTGTTTTACTTGCAGTTCTCTCATTGTTTGCTTCATGTCTTTCAAAACTGTCTTATTAGGTATATGGCATTTGGGATTGTTATATCCTCTTGATGACCTGACTCCTTTTTCATTTGAAATGACTTTTCTTCATTCCTGGTAATAGTCTTTTCTCTGAAATCTACCAAATCTAACAAAGCCACTCTAACTTTCTTTTGACTGGTGTTGAATGGTAGGATTCTTATAAGAAGCATGTAGTTGGGTTGTGCTTTTTTATTCAATCTGACAATCTTTGGCTTTGAATCATGATGTTAGGACCACATTTTATGTTTAGGTGCAAAACCACTATTTTCTATTTGTTCCATCTGTTCTTTATTCCCCTTTCCCCCCTCTCTGCCTTTAAAATTTGAATGTTTTTTTATGAAGCAGATTTTAAATGATAAAAATCTTCTCCATGAAGTTTTCATTGAGTTTTGTCAGTTTTGAACCAGTTTTGACAATACATAAAAAATGCAACTGATTAGTTTGCAGTATCACCTAATGGACATCAGGAAAAATAGAAATTTATCTGAATTTCAACCAAAAATATTAGGGGTTAGGAAACAAAAATGTGATGTGATATGTAATAATAGCCAATGATACCTTTATTCCATTTGGATCCACATATTTTTTGGAATATTTTTTTCACATAGTATAACTGAAAATCTAAGTACTGAAATAAATTAAATTGAACCAGACCTTACATCACTATCTTGCAAAGTATTAAAGAAAAAATTGATGATCAATAACCTATATTTAATTATAGGACTTTCGTTCAAAAATATATGATTTTTTAGTAAGAATAATAAGACCCTTGTTCAGTAAGTAAAATAAAATATTTACAAATATATACATTTTAGTTTTATATGGTTTTGTTTCTATTTTACTTTCTATTTTATAATATAAATAATACATTAATATAGTGCTTGTGCATATAACTACTAAAGGGGTAAACATTAATTGAGAGTTCATCTTCAATATTCTTTTATTAATAAAGTGTTTTGCAATCAAAGATCTTAGAAATCCCCTGGACTAGAGGACTTTGAGATCACCAAGAATTAAGCTAAATATTTTTAAAGATGAAATAAAGAAAATATCTTAACTGTTGACTCATTTAGTCTCATATTATAATGTAGACTGTGAATATAGTCTTATTTATAGATGGTGAGCTGTCCTATACTAGATGTTATTTTAAAATACAAAATGTTAAGAAAACTACTCATTCTCACTAAAATACATGTTTTCACTATGAATTTGCTGTAGAGGGCTCCTAACTAATCTTATGTACTTAATAATTCACAAATGTAAATATTGACCCATTCCATGGACTCCACTACATGTTTTAATTTTGTCTTACATATAACCTTATAATTATTTATAAAACTGCATCTGCCCACAGATACAAATACACTTTTCAATTGAATAGGATGGTGAAATGTACCTATCCGTTTTCCCATTAATGTGATCACCAATTTATATGCCCACTGAGGGCACAGTCTGTGATTGATGAACAAAAACTTGTGTTATATGTTTTAATTCATTGCTGTAAAACCAGTAAAACCCCAAGTTCATTCCTTTTAGAACAGAAAAAACATGCAGGTAAGACTAAACAAAGGCAAAGAAATGATGATATCTTCCCAAGTTGAGTTTGATGTGCAGGTGAAGTGTTATTATTTTTTGTTTTGTTTTTCAATTTATTTATTTTCTTTTGCTTTTTAATTTCAGAATATTATGGCCACACAAACATTTTGGCTACATATAATGCCTTTGATCGCCCAAGCCAGATCTGCGAGGGTGCCCATCCCCCATACTGTGTGCTCCACATCTATTAGTTTATCCACCCCGACTGTCCCCCTCCCACCTTCCTGGCTCCCAATGAATATTACTTCCATGTGAGCACCTTAGTGCTTAGTGTTGCTCAGTTAGTGCCAATTTGATGGCCAGTATATGTGGTGCTTGTTTTTCCATTCTTTTGATGCTTCACTTCCAAGAATGGGCTTTAGCTCCACCCAGGATAGTATAAGAGGTGCTAGTTCACCATTGTTCTTTTTATGGCTGCTTAGTATTCAATAGTATACATAGACCACATTTTATTAATACACTCATGTACTGATGGGCACTTGGGTTGTTTCCACAACTTTGCAATTGTGAATTGTGCTGCTATAAACATTGGAGTGCAGATGTCTTTTTTATAGAATGTCTTTTTTTCCTTGGGTAGATGCCTAGTAGTGGGATTGCTGGATCAAATGGTATTTCTGTTTTCAGTTCTCTGCGATATATCCAAATTACTGAAGTGTAATTATTAATGATTTTGTTTTAACAGATTTAGAAGCACCTTAGATCTTATATCCTTTAAAATCATTAAAGGATATAAGGATCACTCATTCATTTTTTGATAATAAAATGAACATTTTTTTCAGAATTTTTATTATCAAAAATTTAGAAATATAGAACATAGTTAAGAAGACAAATACCAAGTAATCTCGCCACCCAGAGATAATGTCTGGTAAATAAGGCACTTGTTATAGAATTAAATAAGCCTTGTAAACAGAGATATAACTTTTTCATAAACTATTTGTCTTGTATCTTCAAAATCACACATGTGCATACCTTTAGTGCATATGTAAATATGGAGAATAATAAATCTATCCAGGTTTCAAGTATAGTATTGATTCTTTAATAACAAATTCTGTGCTTTAATGACAAAACTATATACATTTTTAAATGATTGTTTTTTTATGTTCCAATTTGCTCTCCAGATGTACCATAGAATTCGTCACTCAGAGTGCATTTACCGGGTCACCATGGAAAAGCTGTCGTATCACAGCATCTGTACTGCGGAGGAGTGGCAAGGGCTGATGCGCTTCACCCTCCCCGTGCGTCTCTGCAAAGAGATTGAATTGTGAGTATGTCACTTTGTCAGTTTCTTCAGGAACAGATTTTTGAGTGAATTGAACTTAAAGTAAAACTAGTTATAGAATTAGAGTCACAATTCTTATACACATAGTCAATATGTAGTTGCCATTTTTCTCTTCAGAAGTGATTCCAAATCTTATGCTAGAACTTGGAAATAAACGCCAGATCTCATTTCCTTAGAAAACAAGTTCTGAACTCAATTTTGAAATGAATTAACTTAAATGTTAGCATTTCTCATTAGTCTGTTGTATACTTTATGCCATGTAATATTTAATATTCAAAATGATGATTAGTATATCTAAATGTTCTTATTTCCATATAAATTTAAATTTCCAAATTAAATTTAAAAATATAGTAACAATTAGTTTAACTTTCATGCTTTGTTTCCAATCCTGGGTTAATATATTTAAGTTACTAGTGGTAAGATCTGTGATAATTTGTGTGCCCCTTTTAATTATAAGCCAACACCATGTAAATACATAGGAAATCTTCAGAGGTGACCCAGAGCTGATATTTGACTCACAATTAAAAATATAGTATATACTTTACCACAGTGTTTATTCCAGTTGAACGTTTGTAGCTAAATTAGCAAATGAAAAATAGGTTATAACTTTGGGTGTTTATATTACTGAAATTTTTATCTCAATTTAAATAGGAGAACAGTTTCAACCCTTAAATACTTTTGATAAGGTTTTTTCCCTTTATCTGTGAGTTGTATAATATGTGTATAGTATATCTTTTTGTAGTTTTTTTATTGCTCTGATAACAAATGCAACTTCCTATTTTTACAGATTATTTAACAGAAAAGTAATTAGTGATTTATGTATTAGACCAAATTCCTGAGGGAATATGTGGAATGTCTTCCTGGAAGCTGCTCGGTACAGGGAGACATGGCTGGGTGGGCAGGAAAATGCTAGTTTAGCCCCAGGTGTTGTTTTAGTTTCTAGAGAGACAACAAGTTTAATGATTTTCTTTACTTACTATGTTTATTCTAATTACATTCAGTGAAAAACTGCCCTTTTTAAATTTCAGATTCCACTTTGACATTGGTCCTTTTGAAAACATGTGGCCTGGAATTTTTGTGTACATGATTCATCGGTCCTGTGGGACATCCTGGTATGAGTGACTAAGAAAAGTCCTTATAAAATATTGAATGATGGGACCTCTTCATCCTTCTGCCTCTATGCCTCACCACCTTGTTTATGATTACTTTTGAGTATGCTACATGTTACTTTTTTCCTAAGTATTCAAATAGCAAAGGTCTAAGATTGTTGGACAGATCTCCAGCCTGTAGAGACCCCTGGTTGAGGCTGCTGGGCTCTCCAATAAGGTGACTGTAGGCTGGTCAAAAGCACACATCTAAGATGCTTTCGTAAAAACAGAGGTTGAAATTGCTTTCAGCTGTGTAATTGAATGAGACAGCAGTTACTACTGAACAGAATTACATACTTTAAAATTATGCTTAGACTACTACATGTAAATTTAGTATCAACGTTCAACTTAAATTATGTATCTATTAGAACAGGTGTAAAATAAACAAGTCTCCTAATTCAGAGTATGGTGCTTTGTCAGTAATTTGGTTATGGCGCTATTTCATTACAATCTTTCCCCACCCATTTTGGCCTGTTCTAGAGGCCTTTTATGATTTTATATTTGATTTTTTTACAGCTTAAACACACAAAGTTAAAATATGAGGAATATTTTGTTTTGCTCTGTTCTATTCATTTAGGCATGAAATGCCTTATAGAACCTATTAGTTTCTCTATAACTAAAGTATGGTTCTTGAATTCTGGGTCTTTTTATAAATTGCTGAGTGTGTCAGTGACTTTTTGTAAATTGGCATTCTAAAAGGATGCACACAGGACAACTAACCCCAGTTAATTCTTAGCATTTGAGAATTTGACCAGTTGAAACTCTTAAAATGCCATGCCTTATATTTCAAGGACATTTGACAATTTTCAGTGGAGGAAAATACAGTTTATACATTTTTAAAAGTTTTTATGAATTCTCAGTCTCCTAGGTATTTCAGAGAGCCCTGATTTATATTGATATGCTTTTGTTTTAAGCTACCTTAAATCTATTTTGAGAGCTGGTAAGGCCTTAAGCATAAATACATGTTAATATAAAGATATATAAAAATAAAATATAATGACAAAGTATATAACAATATATATATGTCGTATCATTCCATATAATTTGTCAGTATTTGGATATGGTCCCTTGCCACTTAACAACTTGAGTGCACAATAATATGTTGGATTCACTTTGAAAGGATATTTACCCATCCAGAATAGTCTCATGACCTACATATTTGCAGTTTGTGAATCCACATATGCTTTTTAGAAAGTATTAGCTCAAAGTACCATTGAGCAGGATGTTGCTGTGTTGTCTTTTGAGCACTGTGGAGTATAAGAAATGTTTGTAAATCTAAGGAGGATCATGGAGTTTAGAGATGGGTTACTATGTGTTAATTCTGGTGTTTTATTCTTGGCAAGACAGTTACTATATCAAAACAAAAACTGTAAAAGAACTCTTGTGTCCTTCTGGCTAGAAAAACAGAAGGGAAATGGTGAGTTTCCAGTGCTTGTAGATTTAGTCAATGTGGAAATCTTCACAGTCGTAAGTGTGTAAGGGTACAGACATCTGTGTATCTAAACTATGGGGCTCTCCTACAATACAGCGAATGTCTACTGGGTTTGGTCATAACTGTTTCTTTTCCACACAGCTTTGACCTTGAAAAGTTGTGTCGTTTTATCATGTCTGTGAAGAAGAACTATCGCCGAGTTCCATATCACAACTGGAAACATGCGGTCACTGTGGCACACTGCATGTATGCCATACTCCAGACCAATCATACCCTCTTCACAGACCTGGAGGTGGGTATGCACACTTTGTCACCTGTTTCACGTAGCCTCAGTGGATTTAATAATCTGTGTCCAGAGCACATTAATGACATGGATTTGTGACATGTTTTTCCAGGACAAATTTTGGCTCAGTAAATCAATAGAGGCACATTTTAGATTCCTATACCCAAGCATTTAGCATATTGTTTTGTATAAGAACTATAGATACATATATTTTAACTTCACCAAAATATACCCCACGGAAACACTAATTTTTGTAGTCTTTCTTCCCAGTTAAAGCTTACGTATTCTGAATGGATATAAACAGTGAATTTTCTCATTGCTCATATGCCCTGGATAATATAGATATCTCCTGCAGATTTGAGAACCCAGAGCATTAAGTCCAATTAAGATATAAATAATTTTGAAATGGGGGATCTGAGGTGTTTAATTGATTTACCTGACTTTACATATCCAGAGTTGGTGATATACCCAAAGCTTTCAAAATTTCAGAATTAGAAGGTCCATTTACCTACGATAGTGGAATGTCCTCACTGGAGAGCCCAGCCAGGGCTTAGTGACAGGGAATTTCCTGGCCCCAAATGATGCAGAGTGCACGTCTGGACAGTCCTGACCTTGACGTATGTCCTTCTGACCATGCTGGTCCCAGTGGTGCCTACTCACAACCTAGATATGGTGTCCTCTTTTCTCTCTCCACTGTGGAACTGGTATCGTCCTTTAGGTGTACTTCTCTCAAAGTCACATCTTTAAACTAGAACCCAGCACTCCTAAAGGTCTATCCTATTCATTTTCCATCCTTTCACACCATATTCACAATCTGAGCAGAAAACCTGGAAGGTGCATTCTAGGAAAAACAAAAAATTTAAAGAAAGAGTCAGATGTGTTCCTGTGTTTTTGTTTTTTTAAATAATGTTTAGTTGAAGTGGAATCTAATCTAATAAATAATTTATTATTTATCACTTCCCCCAAAATCCAGATAAAATCTATTCTTTTTTCACATAAGTTTGTCTAAACAATTTTCTATTCCATTGAACCCTATATTTTTGAGACTTTGAACATTCATTCCTTTTAAGAAAGCAATTAATTTCATTGTCTCTTTTGCCATAAGATAGCCTGTGAGTTTAAGAACTATAGAAATTATACTTTAAAATAGTATTTCAATTTGTTAATATATCCAAAAACTGGAAATTTTAAAGATAAATTAGAAAAACTTTGTTGATACATATTGACTATCATATAAGTTTCTAATTCATTTCTGGAATTATTATCATGACATTTTTCAAAAAACCCAGGTCTTCTGGCTAAAAATAATCCCCAAATAACATATGTAAATATTTTAAATATATGCTATTGAGAGGATAGAACTGTTGTAAATGATCATTTATCTTGTTAAAGAGAAATGTTTAATAAGGGTAATTCTTCACTTTATAATTTTCAGATGTATGATTCTGGCACACTTTTAAAAAAACTATTGAAAGTTATGTTAATTAAAAACAGCTAAAAAAATTGGAAAGATGAAGATAACAGCTTTTGTATATATTGTACAAGATTTTAAAACCTTGAAATTTCTTACTGGATGTATCATGTTGACACAGCAGGCTAAAGTATGGGAACAACCCCCAAATAAAATGATACTAAAAACATAGCTAATTTCAGTTACCGGACGACTACCACATGCATAAGATTGGTAACAGGATACTTCATCAGCTTAGGTACCTGCTGGTAACCAGTGAGATGATTCCCTTCCAGTAAGGTGGCAGGGGAAACCAGTTCTGCAGTGTCAGCATCAAGAAGGAGCAGGGCATGTAGATGAAAACACACTCGCCAGAACCTCTGCTGATTGCCATGGCAGAGCCCTGCCTGTCTGCATCTGCCCTCAGCAGCCTCTGCCTCCCACACCACCACGCCCAAGCCCACCCTTCACGTCATCATATCCCTTGCCTCCCACCTCTTTGAGAATGCTGCCTAGAGGTTCTGCCCCTCTCCTCCACTGTCCTGCCCCCACCTGTCTTCACTGGATCACCCGGTCCACATGTCAGCATGCTCTTACTACTTCTGTCTTCAAATATTGTCGTGATGTCAGCTTCACTCAGCTACTTCCCCATGTCTGAGCTCTTCTTTACAGCAAACCCTATGTGAGGGCTGCTGCCTTGGCTCTCAAATCCTGTCCTCCATCTTTCTGAAAACAACTCTGACCAGCCTTCTGCCTTGGATACCCCAGAAAACGCTCTGGTCCAGGTCACTGGCGACTGAACCTTGTAGGATCTGAGCGCCAGCCCTCAGCGTTTTTCCTCAGTGCCCTCGCTTGTTCCTATGACACCAGAACTCTTTGTCCTATGACTGGACTGGCTGCTCCTCCATTGTTGTGGAGTTTTTGTTGCGGATTCTTTCTCTTTCCTCAGACTTCCTACTGTTGGAGTACTTGGGAGCTCAGAGGTTGACCTTGGTGAGGTCAGCCAGTCGTATGGCTCTAAATGCCACATGTACAGTGACGGTTTCACTTCTCCAGCCAAAGAGCTTTAGACTTACATAGCCAACGGTCATCTCAAAATCCCCCTTGACAAATCCTCACTTGACTGTCAAGTAGACATCTCACCTCAATCCAGCCCTGAACTCTAGACCTGTCTCCTCAAACCTGCTCCACCTGCACTTTCCCATCCCATCTGATGCCAATCATTACAGTTGCTAAGGCAAAAACCCTCAAGGTCACACTAGACCCCCCACTTCCCCTCCTTTCTTTGCACACCCAGACAGAAAATCCTGTTGGTTCTGCTTGCAGAATGCTTCAGACTATAATCACATCTTATAAGCTTGTATTTTAATTATCCTGGTCTAAACTTCTATTATATTTTGCCTCAATTACTGCAAAAGCCTGCTCACTGGTCTCCCTTACCCTCCTGGGGTCTATTTTCACTACAGTTGCCAGAATGATCTCTTAAAAATGTGAATTATATAATGACATTGTTCTGCTGTAAGCCCTGTGACAGTTCCCTCAGTGACTGAGAAAATGAGGCCTAAACAGCTACAGCTCCCCTGCCCCCGCCCCGCCCCCTGACTCTCAGGGTGTGCTCACCTCCCTTTGCGCTGTCCTGCTCCCCTGCCCTGTTCTCCCAGACTCCTGCTCGCCTCTCTCCCTCTCCCTCTCTCTCACGTCTGTGTCACCCCTGGCCTCTTCGAGGGCCTGCCTCCCTCTAATTCCCTGTGGCCTGTTCTGCTTTTTCTTTCATCTCTATGTAATGTGCCATTTTTACATTCTATATGATTTGCCTGTTATATTCATTGTTTGTAATAACAATAGCATTGTTAGAATTTAAATTGAATAGATTTCTTAATGAAAGAGAGTTGAAACTGACCTTTTCTTGTGCAGATTTGCTTTATCTTTAACTCTTTCAAGCATTTGCCTTATACCTTTAATTCAATACCTCCTGCTCCTTTTCCTAGAGTTGACAGGGTCCCTCCAAAATAATTTGACTGTTAATGTCATCAGCAGAGAAACAAAGGGATTAAAAAGAAGTTAGATTATGTGGAATTTCAAAGATTCCTAAGGGTGTTTACTATATTAATGGCAGAAATTAATGTGATATGAATGTAAGCTATAAGTCCCCTCATATCCCACTTCTTTGTTGTGAACATCTCTGCTTTGTGTTATTTTTTTTAAGCGCAAAGGACTGCTAATCGCCTGTCTGTGTCATGACCTGGACCACAGGGGCTTCAGCAACAGCTACCTGCAGAAGTTCGACCACCCGCTGGCGGCGCTCTACTCCACCTCCACCATGGAGCAGCACCACTTCTCCCAGACCGTGTCCATCCTGCAGGTGAGAGGGCGCCCTCCCTGCTTTGCTGCGAGGCTTGTCTAGCAGATAGCAGCGCCTTACAAGTGGAAGGGGAATATTGTTATGACTTCCTTTAGAACATCGACATCTTATTGTAGAACTTTGAGATGTATAGTCATAATTAATTATTTTTTTGGATAAAGAATCCTGTTCAAAGATTTTGAACATACGTGTTTGCAGTCACATTTGTTTTTTAGTTATTATGTCAATAAGCACATGATACCTAAAGCAAAATTTATTTTATGCAGTTTAAATCAATGACGTAGAGTGGCATATTATTGACCCAGAATGTATTGAATAGTAAATCCTAAAGTTAGGTAAATTTAAGGTTTTAAGTGCATTAAATCCCTCTTATCTTTTTATTTTATTTTTTACTTTATTGCTTTTAAGATGTTCTTGATGATTGATCTAGATGACTGCAGATATCACTTCTATATAAGATATATATTATCCTTCTTTCTTAAACCTTTTTCCTCAACTCACCTTAATCAGATTGCTATCCCATCATGATGGTTTGATTCCTATCAGACAATTTCTTACAATATCGTCTGTGTTTGGGTTGAGAACAGTGGACCCTATCTTTTTCTCCAATTGTGTTGGAGAAAAAGTAAGGAAGAGAAATCCTTTCTAGCTCTTCCAATGATGTATCTAAGGGAAGGGCTTTGAGTGTTCAGAGCTGCATAGGGAAGCGCTGGTAGTGACCCTTCCAGTAACTGCTGCAGGCAAGTCACGGAACAGAAAGGTTTTTGCCACGTGCTGCAGTTTTTCTTTCTTATGTTGGCCATGCCTCCTCTAAACACCCAGAGTTTTTTTTTTCTCCCCTCACCTGCCCAAAGGCTTCTCCTCGTGTCTCCTTATATGGCCTAACTGCCAAAGTGGTTGGTGGGACTTACCTGTGCAGGTCCCATTTGCTCAGGCCTGGGAAGGTGCATGACCAACTCCCTCGGTTGTGGGTGGTGTTTGGATTCCCTGCTGGGTCCTAGTGAATGGTGTTGTAGATATGGAGCTATCTTAGTCATTCTCAAGCCTGTAGGTCGCTTAATGTTGTGCTTGCTCATGTGCTAGTTCTGTCCTTACAGCAGTGTGTGATCACCATTTCTCATGTTCTCTCGACACCAATCCTTTCTGTTTTTAAATGACACATGTTTAGGTGGATAGGTACATAAATGTATATATACAAGCGTACACAGAAATTTAAATAGGATATAAGATTTCTATATATTTGTGTGTATATATATACACACATATATATATACAAAAATATATATACACACACACATATATATATACACACACACATATTTAAAACATGCTTTTTTGTAAATAGGTGAACATTCTGGAAGTTTATGATATTTTATATCTATTTTGACCTCCCTCTTCATTTGAGGCTATTTATTTGCTTAATAAGAAGAACAAATGCCAGAAGTGACTTCAGGTTGCCTTCATTTAGAAATAATTAGGATTCACTGAATTATCATCTCATGTCCTAAATGAAGTCTTGCATTTGACTGTGACATTTCTAGAAGTTTACTCACAAATGAATTTTAAATGGCTTTTATGAAGTTTCTTTAGAAAACCTACTTTAAGTATAATAGAATTAGTTTTCAAGTAGGCCAGAACTGTGAAGCATATTGCTACCTGGTGCAATAAAACATGAACCATGCGATACAGCAGTTGTAGCAAAGAGATGGGAGCAGGGGATCCAGGTTCACCTAAGCTCCTGGAAGGTCTGTCTCCATTGCTGCTGTCAGAAGTAGAGGTTCAGGGTGGTTTGGCTCTGTTTTGGCAAAACCTCAGCAATGTGGGGATTGCACATTACATAAGGTGGTTTTCCTAAAGTGATCAGAACATAGCAGTAGGAACTCATGGCAATGAATTAAGGTCAGACAGGTGAGCTGTTGGCATTCAAAAAGTTGTTGGAGAATAGATTCCAAGTATTAGAGATGGAATTTCAGTCATTGGTGAGGTGGGAATAAGGACAGATTTGTTATCCTGTTTAGAGAAGAAAAGGTGCTAACACATTTCAAGAACAGGAAGCTGGGAAGAAGAACTGGGCATTGCTGCCAATTCAGATGAAGTGCACCACCAGTTTAAAAACCAGTTGGTATACTGGATTGACCAAAAATCTCCTCATGTGAACTATGACAGGGAGAAATGTACTGGGGCCGTAAACAGCCCAGTCTACATAGGCAGGAGTATTCAGGAAATGGTTCCTTCCTTTTCTGAAAATGTCTACACTCTTGGCTGATTTTGCATTTATGTTCAGGATACTTCTTTGAGTGCTTTTCTCAGGTTCATCTAACTGTCCCTTTAAGTTCAATGCAATAACAAGCGTATTTATTGAGCACCTTCTATTTTCCAACACCTGTTTTAGGCATTGGGACTGTAGTGATAAACAAAGCAAACACAAATCACTGCTCTTCTGGAGCTCACAGGGTCTAGAACTTCAGTCCCCAACCTTAGGGCCATGGCCCGTTAGGAACCAGGCCGCACAGCAGGAGGTGAGTGGCCAGTGGGTGAGGGAAGCTTCACTGTATTTACAGCTTTGTCTACCCACCCGCTCCACCCTCCATGCCACCAGTCCTTGGAAAAATTATCTTCCAGGAAACTGGTTCCTGGTGCCAAAAAGGTGGGGACCCCTGGTCTAGAACAAGGAAGGTTTGTGTCCTTGGTGTTCTGCCCTCCAGGTGTTCTTCTCACTGCCCCTGTGGCACACCTGTGGTCCTGACACTAATCATTGAAGGCACGGAGGCCTGTGCTGATTTATCCTTGTGCTCAATAAGACGTATATTTCTAACCCTTGAACTCAATGTTCTGTAAGGCCAAAATTGTGCTTATTATTTTTCCTTAGATACTTTCTCATTTCATATCTCTGATGGTGGCAGCCTCGTTCACCCAAGCATGCAGTTAGTGATGCAGAGTCATCATTTTCCCTTTAGCCTTGTCTCCCCTTCCCTTCACACAGTCACCAAGTCCTGCCTGTTGTGTGTTTTGTCAATAGACACCTCCAGACTTGACCAAAGTGGTACCTTTGGGTAACAGTAAAACTTCCCACTTCCAGTCATGCACATGACATAGACACTCTATAGTTACATGACACGAACACCACTGATGCCTCCACTTGACTAAGAAGACTTTGGCTGTTGCTTTCTCGGTCCCTGCAGATATTCTTTATCTCTGTTGCTGCACAGATGGTTGCGGGTCTGGAACTATCCCATCTCCGGCAGTGTAGCCAGATGAAAGATAAGCAAGTCAGTGTACACTAGTTAGGCAGAGTTCCCACCCAGGCACCTCACAGCTGTGTGGACGGGGGCTGCATGCCATAGTTTGTTAACCGAGTGCCAACTTCTAGTGTGGCTGCCAGTATTGCCTACTGGGTCACCTGGGTAATCAAAGAGTTCTCCTGGCTCACACAGTGACAGCAACGAGCAGAGACTAACAGAATATGTTGTAAAAGCTGACCGTCAGTCCAACACACTCATGGTACAGAAAAGCAGGAAATGTGTATCTGGCCACAGCTTGCCCTGGCTTCAGTCACAGTGGGAAGGATGCAGTGGGCAGGCCCTTGCTGAGTGGGCAATGGGAAGAGGCTAAGTCATGAATAAAGTAATGAAAAATATGAGAGCATCAGAGAAAGGATAAATCTGCATTCTCATCTTTTGCCGAGCGGCCTGTTACCTCTTCATTTTGGGCATCGGGACTGTGTTCCTGGTGACGAGGGCCTGTCGCCTCACATCGGCTGTGACAGACATTCAGGAGCGAGGACGCTCCTACTCGGAGTCTACAGGAAATGGAACGCTGGCCCCTCAGGCCACTGCAGCCCCCTGAGTGTCACACTCCTTCCCTGCGGGATGCCCCGTTCTAGCTTCTTCTGTATTTTGTCTGTTTTACTGCCTTCCCCTCACCCGTCACTGCTTCTCCAAGCATGTGTCTCCAAAATCCATCCATACATATTCCGGGGCACGTTATTCTCCTGTTTACACGTGGTCGGTGGCTTTCCATGGCCTCAGGGATAATTTTCTACTTTCTTAACTGATACATACAAATCTTTTACAAATGGCCCCTGCCTATCTCAAGACTACAGTGTCTGCTACACTTTTACAGTTCCAGCGTATTTTTAACTCTGTCACTATCTGGATTCCCTCTACGTGTGATTTCCTCACCCCTTTCTGTGGCCAGCTGCCCCTTATCTTTCAGGCTCAGCTCAGGCATTGCTCCTCCAGCAAAACCATTTTGTGGCGTCCCCACACAGCTGTGGCGTGGCACTGTTCCCCTGTTACGTGCCCATGTGTACCTCAAGCATATATACATCCTACTTTTTAAAAAAATCGTATTGAAAGTTTCTGTTTGTGAGCTTAACTTTCCACCTTCCACCTCCTTTGAGCATATATACATTTTGGTGTTATTCCACTTGCCTTCAAGTATGTGTACCTCTTAGTTTTTGTTGTTTTTTCTTTTAAGTCATATTGAAATTTTCTGTTTGTGAGTTTAACTTCCACCTCCTCTGCTTTATAAGCCAGTGAAGAGAGTCAGTGCCCTGTTCACCTTGGCAACCGCCGGCCAACCTGGCACCGCGGTGAGGCGTGAAGGCAGATGCAGCAGGAGATAATGCAGAGCGGGCAGGGCCACGTGAGCACAGCCTGAAGACCGGAAACTGGGGTTTTGTTCCGGGGAAAGTTAGCTGCTCTGTCTCCTTGAGAAATAGAGCATAGGGGCTGAGATGGAAGCAGGTAGAATGCCTCAAATATGGAGAATATTTGGTGTGAACAGTGACATTCAAGAAAGTAGGTAGCCTTTGTTTTCTTGCCTAAAACTTACTAACTTATAAAATTAATTTATTCTTTTTTTCCTAATGAGAGATTAATATTAATGATAATTTTGAATATTGAAGCTGTCCTTTATCTGCCTTTTGCCTTCTGTTAATACCCTATGCTAAATACTCAAAAGTCAATAACATTTTAGAAAACAGACCAATTAGGAATGATTATTCTCATTAAGAAAATTTTCTTAATTTTGACTCCAAAATCTGTATTCTTAATTACAATACTAAAATGCTTCCTGGTATGTGGTTTGAGGTCACAGGTGAATAAATTTCAACATAAGTATTACATATTTGTGTCTTCTAAAGGCATTGTTATCACGGATGTTGATGCAATTGTTTGCATTGTTTACTTTTTTCATCCCAAAGTGCCTGAATGGTTCAGCCCATACCTGTGGCTTCCTGTAGTCGTGATTTACAACCCTGACAGGGCAGCTTGCTGGGAGCTAGGCCTGGCTTGGTTGGCGTGCAGGCCCTTCCACAAGAAATCTCCTTTATAGAGCTAAGGAGCATAGAGCTTCTAAGGGATTTGTTTATGATTAATAATACTATTTTTAAAACTTGCTAAGGAAAGATGGATTAGTCTGTCTTCCTGCCTTGGTTCTGACCTACCTCTAATCCACGCTGTTGCCAGAGTAATCACTATCAAACACAAACCTCCTCATATCACCACGTCACTTAAAATTATGAATGGCTCCTAATTACCTTCAAGATAATGTTTAACTTCTATAATAAAGTTTAAACTTAATTTAGTTTAACTTAATAAAGTTAAACTTAATAAAGTTTAACTTTAATTCTCACCATTTCCCTATTCAATTTACTTCGGCTGGATGGACATTTTTGTAGTTTCCACCAAACAGCATGATTTCTGTGGTCTCAGCCGCTCTGTGTCACATGCTGCTGCTTCTGCTTGTCCTTCAAGGTCCATTCCTCACCCAAGAAAATCCTCTCAAGTTCTTCTGTCGTCTTTATTTAACTCAGTCTTACAGGCCATTTCACTTTATTTTAATTGGGTATTCATATGCTTCCCCTAAACTGCGAACTCCTTGAAAAATAAACTTAAGTTGTTTAGGACCTTAGATATAGCAAGTGCCAAATTAGGAATGTAGTTGTATACAAGTGGAGCACTGCAAACTGAATGTCTGTGAAATAAATGAAGACGTGTGGCATGATCTTCATTTGTGATAGAAAGATAGCTGTGGCAAAAGGCAGAACAGTGGACAGAATACCAGATCCCTGGGAATCCTCATCATCACGGGCTGGAGGGTCTTAAAGACCATTCGCTCAAGTAAGTCCTTGGATCATCTTTCAGCACCAGAGGCAATTTCAGCATTGTTTACACTCTCTAATGCCAGATCTCAGCTGCAGCACTTACAAACAGAGCTCACTCGCCTGGGCCCTCACAGAGATACGAAGTATGTGCTATTCACCCACTTTAGGGTTTTGGAAACATTCCCAGGTATAATAAGTCTGCTATATTAAGCTTGAGTTATGCAAAATGGAGCCAAGTAGCTTCAATTAACATAGATGTCAAACTATGTAGACTGGGATATTAGCTATAATAAACTCATCAATTGGTATGTATAGAGGTATTATATTACTTTTTGAGGTTTTATTATGTGTTAACTAATATGAAATTGGAACCTTAAGAAAAGGTTTTAAGCTATTTATCTGGTGTGTTTGGTTGCTTATATGTCCCTCCCTTACTTACTTTTGTTTTGGAAGGAGCAAAATGCCAGAATTTCTTAAAGAGATGGGGGCATTTATTTTGTGTTTTTTTACTCATTTATTCTATCTACTATTTCAGAATAGAGAAGGAGGCACTAAAGGGTGTTGATTACAATGTTTCATTATGAAGGCCCTCTGCTGAACTTTTTATACCTAATACTTTTAATATTGAAAACTAATAAAGCAAATAATGAATCTGAAGTAGCCGGCAGAATATACAAATTCTTTAAAATGGATCTTAATTTGTATTGTATCAGTGGACACTTTTGAGAATATGATGAGAACATGTGCTTGTAGATAACACATTCAGTATATTATGCAGAATTACATTGAGTTTCTAACTCTGTGGTCCCCCTAAAATACTTATAGAACCCAGACTAAGAAGTCCCTATTTCAGAGAGGATTTTCATAAAATTTCAACAGCATGCTAGAATATTTTTATATGCCATAATTTAATGGTTTATCCTGGTAAGCATTGGTGATAGAATAAAGCATCAAAATATATAGCATAAAAATGTATCAGCTTTGACTCCCTTCACATGGCCTGCTGATAGCAGGTATACACATCAAGACCAACTAAGCACGCTCTCATTTGAACCGTGTTTATGAAACAGGAAGCATGGGTCACAAGGCACTAAGTGTGAAGCAGAGGTCAGCTACTTCTCTTAGGATGAAATCAAAGGAAAGCAGATTTCATAGCACAAATCAGAGTGAAAATTTACTTCTTACAACTATTTACAACAAAGCTATAGAGAGATGAGGTTGGAAGGTAATCAAGTTCAGCCCTTGCCCAATGCTTCTGTCCTCTCTCTTGTCCCTATCAGTTACTAACCACCTTGTGCTTGGATGTCTCAACACACAGTGTTTCTTGCACATTCCACGTGGGAACTGTGAACGTTTAGGTCGTTGTTGCTTGTGTAGAGCTGAAGTTCATCCTTATCCTGTCCACCTCTTTGGCTCTATTGTATTCATGAAACAGGCTTCAGTTGAGATTGCATTACAAAAAATGGCAAACAATGACCAGTTTATATAATCATTACAGTTTCTCTTTGGCCAAAGGAATATCTTGTTACTGTTTCAGCAAATATTTCATTTCAGATAGATATCAAAGCATTCTTATATACATTTTATAATTTGAAAGGGAAATCATGTGTTTGAAAGTGCTTTGTAAGCTGTAGAGCTTTCTACAAATGTTGAGTTCTTACTATTATTGTCTGGAAGATAACTAGAACTGAGTCCATTTGTAGCATTTATCATAGGATAATTTATGTATTTATAAGACCTTAAGAGCAAATAATATAGAAATATTCTGATGACTGAAAACAAATGTTGCATGTATAACTTTTTTTCAGAATATGAAGTAGACAGTGTCTTAGTGAGATGTCTAAATTGTTTTATTTGAACCCATTTCAAGAAAAAGAGGTATCTAATTTTGTAAAGAAATATACTTTAACAATTTTAAGTCTTTAATGAATTTTGTCAATAAATGTAGGTTAAGAAAACTGAAATCAATTTTATAGTATGTCTACATTGACTAATAATGAAGTCATTAAAAATAATTGAGGCCAGGCACAGTAGCTCACACCTGTAATCCTAGTACTCTAGAGGCTGAGGCTGGAGGATTGCTTGAGGCCCAGAGCTCAAGACCAGCCTGAGCAACAGCAAGACCCTGTCTCTACAAAAATAGAAAAAATTAGCCAGATGTAATGGTGTGCGTCTGTAGTCCCAGCTACTCAGCAGAAGAATTGCTTTAGCACAAGAGTTTGAGGTTGCAGTGAGCTATGGTGACGCTACTGCACTGTAGCCCAGGAGACAGAGTGAGACTCTGTCTCAAAAATAAATAAAAATAATTGAATACAAATTAAATGCATCTTAATTATCTCAACCTTTTTAGTTTCAACAAAAGCTTTTTTATCTCAATTACAAATATAAACCTAAATTCTCAGAGGAATAAATTATTGTAACAAGTTTTCAAAAGATTCATATACAAAGTAATAATTATGAGATAAAAGAATCCAAGTTATCAGTGTTTTTGTCTTGTTAACGGTGATGACCTGCCATTTTCCATCTCCCTTGAGCATAGAAGAGAAGGTGACCCTATAAAGAAAGTTTTAAATGCGTTTGAATAAACATTATATTGATGATATGGGACATTTTCTTCTAGGATTACTGAAAAGTATGATTATTCATTAAACTTGGGATTGCTGGAAACTGGGATTGCTGGATCAAATGGTAGTTCTACTTTTAGCTCTTTGAGGTATCTAAATATCATTTACCATAGAGGTTGTACTAGTTTGCAGTCCCACCAGCAGGGTATGAGTGTTCCTATCTCTCTGTATCCACACCAACAAAGCCATTCCTACTAGAGTTAAGTGATATGTCACTGTGGTTTTGATTTGCATTTTCCTGATGATTAAAGATGGTAGAGCATTTTTTCATATGTTTCTTGGCCATTAGGCTTCTTTTGAAAAGTTTCTGTTCATGTTGTTTGCTCACTTTTTAATGAGGTTGTTTGATTTTTTTCTTGCTGATTTTTCTGAGTTCTATATAGATTGTAGTTATTAGTCCTTAATTAAACATGCCTTTTTAAGCCCATTAAATTCCAGTATAATATAAAAGTTACCCAATTTTTAAAATTAGTTTATGAGGAAGAGTATTTACTTTAAATATTTTATATTTTCCATTCCTTTAAGTATTAGAAATATCTAAGAATTAGGTATATTTAAATCACTGTAGTTTTATGGTAGCGTAGTTGAAATAGTTCATTTAAGTGATACCTTCATTGTTGTAGCTTAAAGAGAGACCAAAATGCTATTTTCATTACAGTAATTTCAAACTATTCTTTTATTCCCCCAAAACCTATCATTAGTGTGCCAAATGACATTGATTGACCAGATTGTTTCAAATAACTGAAAATATCATGAGATTAGAGCTTGTGCTTGTTATTGGTGGTTTTTATTTGTATTTTTTCCATAGTTGGAAGGGCACAATATCTTCTCCACCCTGAGCTCCAGTGAATATGAACAGGTGCTTGAGATCATCCGCAAAGCCATCATTGCCACGGACCTTGCTTTGTACTTTGGAAACAGGAAACAGCTGGAAGAGATGTGCCAGTCCGGATTGCTAAACCTTAATAATCAATCACATAGGTAAAAACAATTTTAAAAAGCTTAGAAGCCCAGGAAGTGTTATCTGGAATAAATTGATATTTAAGAAAAGAAATGTAATTTGGCATACATTTATATTTGAGAAGAGAAATGTAAAATATTATGCTTTTATTTTATGTGCATTTTATTTATATTTACCTTAGACATTCAATTGTTTGACAAAATTGATGATGATGTAAGAGGATACTTAAAATACAAATTGGAATTTAAACTAGTCATGCAAGAATTGGCACTTTTAAAGGGAAAGGCTGGTAATTCATTCTCCCAAGACCCCAAGAGGTCCCTTCTTGAATTTATTGCAGTCCAGAGTTTGATCATTGCCAAATCCTACTAACCAAGCTAATGTGATTAATGTAAAACCCAGAATTCCATTTTATTGATCTATAGATATATAGCACAGTCACAAGGATCAAAATGTTGGCATTTCATGTGGGCAGAAACATTTAGGAAGCCACGTAGCAATCAAAAGTTTGTTTCAAGAACATGGAATTAAAACAAGGACAATTAGATTAATTAAATGTTCTAGTGGCATCAGAGTAAATTAGTCTGATGCCCTTTTTTCCAAGGAGGAATGTCTTGCCTAGTGGATTCAGAAATATGTCAGGTATGTTCATTATGAACCTGTCCACCCATCTGTATATTAGATCCAAGTTCCCTGGCTAACCTGCCATCTCCCGTTGACAGTTCATAAGTAGTACCACCAGCTTTTATTGCTTTGACTTTCCTGTTGCTGTTTCCATGTCTGACTAACTCCATCTTAAGTGATGCCATCTTTATCTTTAGACTTGTGAACAGTCCTTCACTGGTTCTATGCTAATGTTGCTAAACTTGAATTGATTCTCTTTGTTCAGGTGCTTTGCCTATCTCTTCTATAACTCATTAAGTGCTGATCTTAACATTCCTACTCTAAAAGAAAAGCTCTGTTTTCATGATGTTAGAAGCAATTCATGCAGGTACCCCAAACACAAAATACCAGTTTTACAAATCAATATAGCTATAAAGTTTACCTCTTCAAGAGTAAATATAATTTGTATAATGTGATACTGATGCATTTGATTAAGCAACAGTTGTTTGAGATTCAAATTACCTTCAAACAGAAACAGATCCAGATTTTGTAGATCTTAAAACTTACACAATTTTGGGAACCTTATTTGAGAAAAACATTACAAAGAAATCATTTTTTCACACAAAGCAGTCTGAACACATTTCCAGGGCCCCTCCTGGGACAGAGAAACGTGTTGGTGTCAGTGAAGAGGCCCTAAAGGACCATTAGGGTGTCTTGGCATCTCCTTCTTTGCCTCCAGGTGAAGTGAGAGATGTGGTCTACAAGCTTTCGGTCTCCAACAGGTTGTGTGTAGACCTTGTTCTAAGACCTGTAGAAATAGGTGTTTGTTCACAGTTCTCTTTTTTGATGGCAATTCTGAGATCAGGGAAATAGGCCTTCCTTTGCCTTCTTGAAACCCACGTGCTGCCTTTTTTCGGGGATTATAAATAAGAATCATATAGTTAGTATCAAGTGTCTTTAATATGTTCTTTTTAGCAAAATGATTATAATATTATAAAATAGAAAATTTAAACATCAACTTGCAAATAATATCATTTTGGGTGTTTAATACAAATATATGTGTTCATGGTATGTAACACTAATTTTAATTTTTAATTTTTTAAATACAATTTTTAAATTTTATTTTATTTTTTAATTTTTTAAACTAACTTTTGGACACATAATTTTAAAGATAATACATGTTTATTTTAACAATTTGAAAAATATAGATATGTAAAGAAGAAAAAGGTTAATTTTCTATTCTTCCGAACTCTAATACCAACTGTCTATTTGATGTAATGTCATCTCCTGCTATTTCCATGTTTTCTCAAAGGAGTGTGTATGTGTATACACAGTATATACAGCCATACCTCAGAGATACTGTGAGTTTGATTCCAAACCACCACAATAAAATGAGTCAAACATATTTTTTGATTTCCCAGTGCATATAAAAGCTATGTTTATATTATAATATATTAAGTATGCAATAGTATAATTTGATGATATTATAATAGTATAACATCTAAAAATATATAACTTAATTAAAAATGGTTTATTGCTACAAATGCTGATGATCATCTGATCCTTCAGCCAGTCATAACTTTATTGCTGGTGGAGGGTCTTACCTGGTTGTTGAGGGCCCCTGGCTGATCAGGCTGCAGTTACTAGAGGTAGAGGTGCCTGTGGCAATCTCTGAAAGTAAGTTTACCCATCAATCGACTCTTCATTTCGTGAATGATTTCTCTGTACCATTCGATGGTGTTTAATGGCATTTCACCCGTAGTAGAACTTCTTCCCACATTGTACTCAGTCTTCTGACACTGCCCAGTTTTATCGACTAAGTTCATGGAACATTCCAAATCCTTTGTTTTCATTTCATTCCACTGATATTCACAGGATCTTTACTGGGAGTGGAGTCCATCTCAAGAAACCACTTTTTTGTTCATCCATGAGAAGCAACTCCTGTTCAAATTTTATCATGAGATGGCAGCAATTCAGTCACATCTTTGGGCTCCACATCTAATTCTAGTTCTCTTGTTATTTACACCATATCTGCAGTTACTTCCTCCTCTGAAGTCTTGAATACCTCAAAGTCATCCATGAGGGTTCTTCTAAACTCTTGTTAATGTTGATATTTTGACTTCCTCCAAGTGAGTCACAAATGTTCTTAATGGCATTTAGAATGGTGAATTCTTTCCAGAAGCTTTTCAATTTACTTTGCCCAAATCCATTAGAGGAATCACTGTCTATGACAGCAATAACTTTACAAAATGCATTTCTTAAATAGTAAGGCTTGAAAGTGAAAATTATTCCATGATCCATGGCTGCAGAATGGATGTTGTGTTAGCAGGCTTGAAAACAGCATTCATCTTCTTGTGCATCTCCCTCGGAGCTCTTGGGTGACCAGGTACATTGTCCATGAGCAGTAATATTTTGCAAGGAATCTTTTTTCTGAGTAGAAGATTTCAACAGTGGGCTTAAAATATTCAATAAGCCATGTTATAAACAGATGTGCTGTCTTCCAGGCTTTCTTATTCCATTTCTAAAGCATAGGCAGAGTTGATTTAGCATTAATTCTGAAGGTCCCTAGGATTTTTGGAGTCATCAATGAGCACTGTCTTCAACTTAAAGCCACCAGCTGCATTAGCCCCTAATAAGAGGGTCAGCTTGTTCTTTGAAGCTTTGGAACAAGACATTGATTTCTCCTCTCCAGGTATGAAAATCCTACATGGCATCTTATTCCAATAGCAGGCTGTTTCACTTACGTTGAAAATCTGTTGTTTAGTGTTATCTTAGCTATATCTTCTAGATAACTTGCTACAGCTTCTACATCAGTATTTGCTGCTTCACCTTGTACTTTTATATTCTAGTGATGGCTTTTTTCCTTACACCTCTTGAACCAGTGTCTTCTAGCGTCAGACTTTTCTTTTGCAGCTTCCTCACCTCTCTGAGCCTTCATAGAATTAAAGAGAATTAGGGTCTTGCTTTGAATTAGCCTTTAGCTTAAGGGAATGTTTGTGGCCAGTTTCATCTTCTAACCAGACTAGGAAAACTTTATCAGCAAAAGCCCGTTTTGCTTTCTTATCATTCATGTTTTCACTGGCATAGCATTTTTAATTTCCTTAAGAATTTTTCCTTTGCATTCACAACTTGCCTGACTCTTTGGCACAAGAGGTCTGGCTTTCAGTTCATCTTGGCTTCGACATGCCTTGCTTACTAAGCTTAATCATTTCTAGTTTTTTATTTAAATAGAGTCATGGGACTCTTCCTTTCACTTAAATACTTAGAAGCTATTGTAGGGTTACTAATGGGTCTAAGGCCAGTATTACTGTGTATCTGTGACTAGGGAGGCCCATGAGGAGAGAGAAAAAGATGGGGAACAGCCAGTTGGCAGAGTGGTCAGAAGACACACAATATTTACCAATTAAGTTCTCCATCTTATAGGGGCATGATTCGTGGCACCCCCAAACAATTGCAGTAGAAACATCAACTGATCACAAATCACCATAACAGATATAATAATAATGAAAACGTTTGAAATATTTTAAGAATTACCAAAATGTGACACAGACGTGGAGTGAGCACAAGCTGTTGTAAAAATAGCAGATAGGCTTATTCAGTGCAGGGGTGCTACAAAGTTTCAATTTGTAAAAAACTGCTGTATCTGTGAAGCATAATGAGGCAAAGTGCAATAAAACTAGGTATGCCTGGAGCATATATTGCCAAAAATCAACACACACATTAAATTCTCTGAAAAGACTGAAAATTCACACTTCTTCTAACATAAGGGTGAAAACTGTTTCTCATTAAATATGTGATCTCTGTTCACTGTGTTGAAGTTCTTTTCATGTTTGTTCACAATTATTTCTACTTCTATATATTTGTCTATTCATAATTTTGGTTTATTTTTTGTTCAGTTTGCCTTTTTTTTTTTACTGGTATAATTATTTTTTTAATTTTTTAATTTTTTTTTTCAGTTTGCTTTTTTATAAATCAGTTTGCATTCTGTATTGTTCTTAAGGGTATTAAAATTTTCTGTAATATATTACAAATACTTTCAGTGATTTTTCAAAAATTTTATTCAAATTTTCTTTCAAATATAAAGAAATTAAGTTTCATAAGGCCAAACCTGTCATTTCTTCTTATCAAATATCACAGTAATATAAATAGTATTTAAAATTTTGTGTATTTTTATAGTTTTAATTTTTATATTTAGATCTTAATTCTTCTAGAGGTATATTTTTATGAACATAACTTTATTTATTCATCATGGAGTTCATCAATACCATTAATGAACAATCCATTTTTCCACTGAATTGAATTTATTACATTTTCATATAAACTTAGATAATTTTCAACCCCTTAAGCCATTAATTGCTAATTATCTGTTCCTCAACTTTAAACATGCTGCTTTGATTACTATAACTGTGTTGAAATT